TTAGCAAGATACAAGATGATCTGACCCAACCGAACCTAGTAGCAGATTCGTCATCTTTTTATCGGTGTTGGTTGCAAGCTCAAAGTCGGAGCGATGAGCAAAGTCGTTCAGGCGGTAAGCTCGCGCTTTGACAGAAGCGTTTTCTTTTCCACTGGCGCTCTACTTCTTGTTGACTCTGTCGAGAACGCGTTGACGTGCTTCCTTGGCATCACCGTCCCAATCAGCACCGTAACCATTGTTCAGCGCACGCTTGACGCTCTTGTCCGAAACCTGATTGTCCGTATTTCCCACCACATTGACGATTCTCCTCATCCAGTCCGGTACAGCTCTCATCCAAGGCAAGATGCGCATAAACTCTGGCATAATGACGTATTGAGACAAACCACTGTCGAACGCATCCACGATCGCTTGGCCTACTTGGACGGGCATCAGATTGGGCGTGATAAAGGGATCCGCGTGATCCTCCATGCCGTCTCCTAGAGCGGTGCGAACCTTGGTAGGGCAGCAGATGGAAGTGCGAATCTTGCGAGAGCCATAACGAGCGTTGATCTCTCCGGAGAGGACCTCGTGGAAAGAGAGAGCAGCAGACTTGCTGGTCGCGTACTCTGCCATTTGCGGCAGGGACACTGTGCGACCAAGGCAGTAGAGCCTTAGCATTTGTCCAGCGTGCTGTGCTCGCAGCTCCCCTTGCTGGCTGGCGTCTGTAGAAAATACTCACTGTAGCTCGCACTGCTAGCCACTGTCATGATGTGTCCGTGGTTCGCCTTGACCATTGCAGGAAGGAATTCCTGCGCGGTGATCCAATTTGCGAGAGTGTTGATGCGCCACAAGCGAGAGATGGAGCCAATTTCAGCCTCGAGGATTAGAGATCCGTTTGCGACGCCTGGAGAAAAAGAGGCGGCGTGACCGATGATCAGCGGCTATTGTGCACAAAGCGCACATCGATACAGCGGGCAAAGGAAGCGCTTAAGAGGCTTCAAGATGACCTTTTCGTAGCTCGAGCTGTTGAGCGTGGCAGGCGCACAAAAATCCACGCTTTTCTTTCCCACGCTTCTCCAGTTGCAAAGCCAGCCTGCAGCGATCCTGTGCCGCGGCGACTCACCTGCGCAGTTCATCAGGATGGTTGGTTCACCGAATTTGGCGCGAATCTGATCAGCAGCCGACTTGACCTGAGCGGGGTCAGAGACGTCCGTCTTGAAATAGAGGATCTCGGGTGCTCCAGGGGGGGCCTTGGCGTAGGAAGGAGGAGCCATGTCCAGCACAGCGATTTTTGTCCTCTTGTTGTGCGACAAGAGCTCCACAGTCGCCTTGCCAATACCGGCAGCTCCGCCAGTAATCACCACCACTTCTTTCTTCCAGTTGGGCCTGTCAGGCTTCCATTCTCCGTGGTTGCGAACATAACGCGTAGCCAACTTGTTGAATCCTCGAAGAAGAATGAACAGCCAAACTTTTCCCAGCCATGGGTATGTGTCCTTGACCAGGGTCTTCAAGGACTCGAGCGAAGGAACGGGATAGGAAGATATATCCGTAGACACGTTTCCCGACGCTCTTTGATCCAAAAAGTATGCCAGGGCGGGAATGAGAAAGAGGGAAAGGGGACTCAAAGCAGTTCGATCGAGGATCCACTTCAAGTTGTCAAAAGTGACGTAATTGCCTCTGAAGAAGAGCGTTGGCTTGTCTGGCTGTGTGCTGGTCGACATGATGGGCGATGAATGCGTGCAAGTGTGGTGTGTGGCGGGTCGTGGAAAATGAGCAAAGGAGCAATTGGGTTGCTTCTGAGAAGGTGGTAGGAGGTGGTCGTGGTGAAGGAGAGCGGCGAGTATTTCAAGGCCTCGCGTAGAGGCGTCATGACATTACGCATTCGTTTCGCGAGTGCACTCGCTTGCGAATTGAATCGCGAATCGCGAATGTCAAAGCACCACCACGGCAGTCACGATCGACGTCAGTGCTGCTGCATGGTGTGCCTGTCTGAATGCGG